GTCTACTGGGCCTCTCACTGATGAGCAATAAACCACCTGAGAGAACTGCTCTGTGCTTTGCAGCCGATCAACGAAGAAGTGTAACAGTGTAACAGAAGTTGGAACAGTGGTTCCAACTGCAGGGGCATACAAGGCTCTGCAGGGGAGATCTGCCCAGCAGCGAAATCCAAGTTTAGCAGATCACCACAATTCTCCATGAAACTACCTTTAAACGATGGAGCCAGGAAGGGAAAGAAAATATTTAAATCCACAAAAGAGGCACAAATCTCACTCTGGGTGTGTTTCATCTGTCCACCCCTGAGAGCCTCTCATTGCTAGAAGTATTCAAAAGAGAATTAGAATTTTAGTCTAACCAAATGAGGAAAATGAAGGAAGAAACAGTTTTGTCCCCTCTTCATCTTTTTCCTCTCAATCCTGGGGCCAGGACCCTTACGGGTGGTGGGTGGGTAGGAGGGGAGAGGAGACAGCCCCAAAATGAAGCTCATGGCTCATGCCTTTCTCTTCCTGTCCATCATGGGCACAGTGTTCTGGCTCCACTTACAGGGAGAGGTGGAGGAAGGCACACAGCAATAGGAGATCACTGAGTTTGGAGCAGAAAGGGGTCTCAAGAGATGACATGGAGAGGCAGCAGGACACAGGGAAGCAGGCTGTCCAGGATCAAACCCCAGCCCCACTCTTTACTAGCTGGGTGATGTCAGGCAAGTATTTGACCTCCCTTTTCCTCAATTTCTTCACCCATTCCAAATGGAGATGATGCTAATACCCTTCTCCCAGGATCGCTATGAGAATTCTGAAATATGCGAATATTTGTAGGCATATTATTGTCAGAGGAGGCGGTCCTGGGGCTTTAGGCTGCACTGATTCACATTCTCATTTCGGGAAGTGTGTGGCGCTCTTGTCTTTAAGTGTTCCAAGAGAAGCCACAGCATTTAAGTTTCACAGACAGCTTTCCTGAATTGGAGTAAGAGATGGGTTGGTCCGTGACAACTATTCCCCAAACCAAAATGGCAGCTCAGCAGCTTCATCCTGGGGATCTTCCTCCAAGTTCATTACATTCACTTTCCTCTCCCATCTTCGCTACTTCTAGTCTTTCATGACTCATTCCCCTCTTGTGTGTCCTCTCAGCATTTGGCTACCAGGAATCAGTAGAATAATCCAAACCCATCCCGTTCTCTCTGTCCCAAACACCTGGCCTCAGATTGCCTCAAACTTGAGTCACTCAAATCTCAACAAGGGAAACACGAGGTCTGGGTGGCTCCCCAGCTGGGCTCGCTCTAACAAGGGGGTTACAGCAGATGGATTCCTCTCTGTGACCGATTATTTTCCATGGCCTTTGGCCATGTGACCTCGGACCATGATCTTGTCAGTTCTCATAAACTAACCAGGAGTGGAATGAATCACACTCGGAGAGGAAACCTCTCGGGGAAACTGCAAGGGGCTGTGAGAGGGAGGAGAGAGCCGGGGATCCCAAAGGCCATGGGAGCCTCACCACCCCTCATGCCTTCCCTGTCTCTAAGCAGCTTTGACCTCACACAAAGGGAAGGGGGAGGAGGCAGTGGCCATGGGAGGGAGGCTGGACTGTAGGAGGGCTACTCTTCTGAATAAGACTTAGGGTCTCAACCCAAGAGCCCAATTGTCCCTACTGCCCTCAACTCAGAGAAATTACTGGCCTCAGCTGCTCACTTGGTTGTGGACACCCAAAACCTTATTCTTAGGCACCCCAATCTACCATAACAACATACATGAAATAGCCAACAACACACACGCACGTGTGCACGAGTACCCATCCCTACTCCGAGGACTGGGTATCCTGCAGGAGGTGATGAAAATGTTGGGTAAGGCACTCTAGGCCCTTGACATCGTGTTGATGGTGAAGAGGTTTTGAGAATGCTGCTTGAAGTGTTTACATTACACCAAACACATTGATTAAAGCTGAAAATGAAATGCCAATGAAATCTTTATACTCTTCAATATCCCAAATTTGGGTGTTGTATGCACAAAACAGTGGTATTCTCTGCCTAAATTTTTGCTTTAAATAATCTTTGAATTTCAAAGTTTTGTGTCTCTGTAGCTTTAGATCATAAGTTTCTTTGAGTTCTCTGACAAGTTAATACATTGTTAGAGAAATCATTTCTGAATAAAATATGTACATGTAAACAAATCCCTTAACTATGTATACATTCTAATTACATTCTGGGCATTCATTTGATTGGGTCCTGGGGAGAGAGAACAAGTCCGTGTGTCTGTGGACAGAGCACATGAATTTATGCATACACAGAAACTCAGAGCACAGCACGCTCTTTTAAGAGTCTGAGCTTTATCTTTCAACAAGGTTTAGCTGCTTTCCTTTTGCAAATGCATTTAATTTTATCTGGAAACTTTCTGACATTAGAAATAGAACAACTGTAGTTTCTCATTATGTTTGCTGCCAGAATCCATGCTTGGTTGCTCAACTAAAGACCTTATATTGCTAATTACTACCACATGCCCATATCCCAAGCGAAAGCAAACTTATTGATTCTGACAGCCCATTCTCTCAACACTGAATTCCAAATGAAAACTCAAAATTTGGCCAAACATAACATTTCATCAATCTTGTTTTACTGACTGGAAAAACAACATCAAACAAAGGGTGCTAATGGCCCTTCATTACCGTGCCTTTCCCAAGCTTATATTTTCTGATGAAAGATCTAAGTGACCAAAGGGCTTCTTTAAACTACTTAGTAATTAGCTTTTGAACCAGGAAACAATGCGTAAAGTAAAGTGAACAGGCCCGGTGCTGATGACAGGACGGACTCTGTGTCTGCTGGGTCGGGAACAGTGGGGACCCAGAAAGAACATTAAAAGCAAAGTGCATTTTCATAAAGGGAAAAGAAAAAAGAGAGAGAGAGAGAGAACACCAGGCTAAAAGTGGTGATAAAAGATTACAGAGCCAGAACAGAATGGCAGGAAGTCTGTGATCTGAAGTCATCAGCACCTGAAAGTTTGGGTGGAACTGCTGGGGTGAAAGATGACCGGATCGGACTGGGGGCAGTGAGGGAGTGCTGGGCTGAGGGCCCATCTGGGTCACCTGGCACCAAAAGCTGCCGGCCTCCAGCCCACCCACCAGCCCACCCACATTGACTAGGAAACCTATTTCATTAAAAAAAAAAAAAAAATTACCTGGAATGAGAGTCAAGAAATATTTTCAACCTAGCCTTCAGGGCAATTGATTTTATTGACATCTTCAGAGGCAGTGATTGGGAAATGCTGGCAGAGACAGTGGGAGACAGGGAGGCCATAAAGAGTCCCCCAGGCCCTCACAGTGCCTTCTGCTTTATGGAGACCTGTCCACACCTTCAAGGCAAAATGAATTGAGAGGCTGTTTTCCTCTTGGCATGAGATACGGGACCAATGGGAATCTCTGGACTTCTTTGGCCTTTTGGACCCAACTGATGGCCCAGAAATCAGAACAGCTTGGTTCCAACCTCATCCAGGGCCGTTAAGATAACAGTAAGGGGAGGACTCCATTAGAGGGAAGATGGAGGGACGTGCTGCCAACTGGCCTCCTCTCGCCCACTGTCCTTCATGCCTTTGAGAGGAAACTGGTGTCCTGTGTGTCGTTCAAGAGAATAAGCCCTTTTGTCCACCTCCTGATTTCCTGTGCAGAGGCCTGGACACCTGAGCTCAGGAAGCATTGGACTCACTGACCAAAGGGGAGGGTCCGCTCCGTCCGACACGGCTGACTGTCAAAACAAGGAAGGGGCAGCAGCGGAGGGAAAAACAACACTCCTGGTCTGATTTTATTTCCTCTTAAAAAAAACCAAAGAAGCTCTTTAAGAGTTCATTTGAAAATGAACGAGAAGGAAAACAAAACAGTTTCACGACAGGAGCTTCCGTGACTGGGAAGAGGCACGAGTGATGAAGGTTTTCTGTGTCTTGATCCGTTCGGTAGGACGGTAGTTCCTGAGTGTGTACACAGGTACGAGCTCCTCACTCTGTCTGTTAAAGATGTGTACATTTAACTCTATGTAACTTATGCCTCAAACCAAAACAAACAAAGGTGACTGCCCCAGAAAAAGCTTTAAAAAATAAATAAAGGATGGCTGCTTCCCACCACCTCTCCCCCACAGCGTTCCTATCTTGAGATGGTAAGGTGCTCCACCTTACTTAGGAGAAAACCTTGGGGTCTCTATTGAACTTGCACATTGATACTGAGAGTGATGAGGTGATCTGAGCACACACTGAAATAGTTCCCAAGAAAAGCATTCACATTTGAGAAGCCAAACAGAAGATTCATCAGGAATAGCATGGAGTACCCTAAAATACCAGAAATATAATATTTCTTGCCCAGAAGGAATGTCAGCTAAGTAATGAGTCCCTTTGAGGATAAGACAGGTGCCTCCTGGACGAAGAGGAGAACTGGGCTCCCGGTGGCCACAGTGCCTTTGCGGTCGGCCAAATGACTGGATCTGCCCCCCGCAAGGACTTCCCTGCCAGACTCTTATCCTGCATTCTTGCTACATACAAACCATCACAGGAGGGCATCATACAAGTTTCAGGGACCAGAATTTTATCACCTAGCCAGATGATGTGAAGAATGAATGAATTTTGTCTAGTTGTTAGGAGGTCAGAGCAGAAAATATGGGCCCAGTTATAAATGGACTCCTTTCAGGACAAACCCATTACAGCTCTTGGAGGCTGCGAATGGGAGTTGGTCCAAGTGTGGCAATGTCCTGGGGTCACCTCTGACATCACACCCCATGCAGAAGGTGGGCCTTCCCTCATAAAGCACCTGCTGGAGTGGGGGAGGGGCGGGATTCAGATGGCACCTCTACAAGGGACTCCTGAAAATCACTCAACCACGTCTCTTCTGATGCAACTGACTTACTTTCTGCCTCCATGTTTGTTAAAAGTCCCGCCGAATTTATTCCGATTCAGGATGAGAGCAGCAATTTCGGGCACGTAGCGAGCAAACATTGCCTACATGCATGAAACAAAGAAACAAGAGCCAAAAAAAAAAAAAAAAAAATGGCATGCAGAGAGGATTCGACCGCAGCGGAGGCAGCAAAACCTCTTGTCATACTTACTTTCTTCCACTAACCGCACTATAGGAGCCCCCGTATTTCTTGCGGTTTCCTATTAACTCTATGATTTCAGGGACGTAGCTGGCAAACATGGCCTGAGAAGATAGGAGACAGAAGAGAGACTAAAAAAGACAGGCCAAAGAAAAGCGGGGTGGGGGGGGGACCTCCTCAGAGGGGGGGTGACTAAGATCTGAAAACACAAAAGGATTAGGCCTGCGAAGGTATATGTTGATACGGTGGGTCAAAAAAAAAAATGCACAAAGAGAGCAAGCTCCTGGAAACACATGAGACAAACAAACATTAGTTAACCTTGACAAGTAAACAACAAAAACATCGCAGTCGAGAAAAATACAAAGGACACAGGAACGAATAAGGTGATATCTAGTTCTTCCTGTCAGAGAAAAACAAGCAAAAGGTGCGCACGCTACGGAAATTAAACACACACAGACACGTGCGCACGCACACATGCACACACAGTTTTGCAAGAGAAGATCTTTCCTTCTCATTAAAATTCAGGGGTGAATCAACACTTTTATGAGTGACAAAAGAAAATAAACACCAAAAGGCTAAAAACTAAATTTTTCTATTAAAAAAAAATACTAAAAAGCACGAAAGGGAAATTTAGGAAATCACCCGGGAGGAGAAGATAGCAAGGAGAAACACAAATCTGCCATGTTTTGTCCAACAAACATCTAGCCTGTGGCTGGCTGGATGGGGCTTGTTACACCTACGGGCACCTCACAGAGGCTGCAGAAATGCTTGCTTGAATGTACACGTGCACATACACATTTCTATACATTTTTTAAATGTATATGCCCTATGCATACAAAACAGAGAGATGTGTATGCATCACTAAATATAAATGTGAGCGCGGTGTACATACATGAAAGCTGTGTATAGATTAGGATTTTAATCACTCACTTCATAAATGGCAAAAAATCTAAACTTAAAACAAGCTACTTCGAAAGACAAAATGCAGCAACTGCCAATGTGTGGCCAGAAATCCCCTTAATTTACATGATAAGGGATGGTTTAGTGCAACATAAAGAGCTGCCTAGACCTTTAAAAAGCAAACAGTGAAAACTTTCTTTCAAGAAAAGAGGAAAAATATCCCATGGAGTCAGCTGTTGGCAAAACTGCACTCTGCTCACTTGGGGACATCCGCCTGGATGAGACCAAGGTGCTGTCTGTCCTTTGATGCAGGGACTCCCCTTCTCTTCAGGGCAGGTTCCAGCCACAGTGTTTGTTGGAAGTTTGGGGAGGAACACAAAGGGGAAGGGGCAGCTCTTGAAACCGCAAACTGTCTACAAAGTATCGACAGCTTCTACCAGGTGACAGCCACTGTCCTTGCAGCATACCAGATGCTGAATTACATCGCTAAGGGGTAGACACTCTCCCTCATTAACAGCATCACTTTCTTAAGACGATTAGGTTTGCTCCTGGCTAAACGGCTGTCCCTGACAAGGGCAATGTGCCTGGATCTATGGGACAAGTAGAATGCACCAAGAATTATGCAGAAAAATCACCCTCCTGTTTGGATTTACTTAGCCTGATTGTAACATTAAGGCTTGCTTCTAGTGCAGAACACAGTCTAAAATTTGAAGCTTTAAGGAAATGTATCGTGGAAAATATTAATCATCCAAATCAACCTCATAATAAAGATTATTATTTTTTTTTTACCAGTCCGCCGAGGATGAAGAAGACCATGAAGAGGCGGCCAAGCGTGGTTTTTGCATAAACATCCCCATAGCCAACGGTGGACATTGTAACCATGAGTAAATAGACACATTCCCAGTAGGTGAGAGCCTGGTTGTTTTGGAAATTTTCCCATGGGTCCCCTGAATTCTCCACCTAAAGCAAATGGGACAGGGGAGAAGAAAGGAAAACATGCTATTGAAGCATATACATACAATCAACCCGGAAGCTCGGCACTCCCGCAGGGCCACTTGCTAACACACATCGCTCTCCACACGAGCTGCGTGGTTCTCGGGCTGAGTTCTCTGAGTCAGGATGCGGAGCTCCTGAGCAGGACACACAGAAAGTGGAGAAGCGGCAGCAGAAAATGTCTTCCTGGCTGATTGGGACAGAGTGGGAAAGCAAGAAGGGAAGTATCTCTAGGCCATTTTTATTCTGGTGAAATGTCTAAAGCCAGCTAATATTCAGGGCATTGCCTGTGGCCAGGTTTTAGAGCACTCCAGAGAGCCCTTCCCTGACCTTCTTCAACGGGTTTCCAAGGCCCAGATGGCCTGGCTCTGCCTCTCCCGCAGAAATCCTAAACCCTTCCACAGGGGGCTGCCTCCTTCCCTCAGTTAGACCAAAGAGGTGCCTGATGGGCCCTGCTTCTTCAGATTCAAACAGCATCTCTGGGATCTGGCCCTGCTCTCCCTCCTTTGCAAATTGCCAATGGTGGTCCTAGCCTTGAGGCTGCCGGAATCTTCCCAGGGGCATGGAAACTGAGCTCATGAAAACAGCTGGCACTGGCACAGCCTGTTAGACCAAGAGCTGGCAAACGTTTTCAGCTTTGTGGGCCACACAGGTCCTGGTCAACTCTGTAGAGGCAAAACTTCAAATAATGGGTGTGGCTGCATTTGGCGAGTTGGAGAGCTTTGGCCCAGGATTGGTTTGCCCACTTTCCTGTCCTCCCATCATATTTGACCTGCCAACAAGAACAGGAGGTAGGCAGGAAGGGTACTTTAGAGACTCTCAGGAGAGAGGGAGCTGCGGGTCAATTCTACTCAAATGTGCCGGTGATCCACCTGCAGGGCCTGTAGGCAGCAGGCCCCAGGCCTCCAGCCCTGCCTCTGCAAAATGTTGGCCTCCTTCACACATCAGTTTATCCTCAATGTGCCATTTTCACAAAAGTTTCCTGGTGAATCAGAAGGGACTTCACTAATATTAATAGTAAGGTGGGGTCGTCTTATTAAAGACAACTGTCTCCTCCACATAAGTGATTTGGGTGCTGGGTGCTTGGTTACAGCAAGAATTAGGGTGATTAAGGGTGATTTTGTCCAAGAATCCCAACAGCATAAAGGGCTGGGTAGGAGACCCTAGATCTGGTGACTACATGAGCCCCGGCCCCCCACTCGCTGCCATCCCAGGCCTGTCTTCCTTTGGGTGATAATTACCTAAATCCCAAGTGTGGGTAGTTAAACACATCCTTCAATCCCTTATGCAAATAGAGGCTCAGCTACCGGTGGTCAAAGTCTCATAGCTAGACAAGGCTCCTTCTAGTTGTAACATTCTAGGTTTGTATGAAACACACTTCCCTCATGGCTGTGCTCTCTAAAAGCAAGGCACAAGTCTGCCTTGGTGAGGTGCGAGAGCCTTGACTTAATATGAGGATTTCAAAGAGTCATTCATAAAGAATTAACATTTTTGAGGTACCAAATAAACTGACAAGTAATCAGGCAAAAGACTCAAAGGTGGCTTTTTGTAAGGGTGGAGCAGAGAGAAATTGAGGGATGAATTCGTTGTTTGCCAAAAGGTATGGGTCAAACTTACAACCTTGTCCCCAGCTCTTTTCCAGGTGTTTGCTTAGGAAGCACTGCCATCTTGTGGCGTACTGTAGTTATTGCAGACAGAAAGAAAATCTACCAAAGACCCCACTGCAATACCAATGAGGAATGAGTGGAAAAACGCAGGTTAATAGTGCAAACATTACTCACCATTTGGAACTAGTTTGGGGTAAAAAGGTTGGAAACCCAGACAATTGTGTGGTTGCTTCCCATTTTCCTGTCTACAACCGAGGTGAAGTTTCTTTCCAGCAACATACATTGTAGGTAATAAAATGACTCAGAGAGGGTCTTGCTGCAGGCAAGCGAGAGCAGAAGGGTCTTCGAGGTTACTCACCAAATGGATGAATCCGGCTGCAGTCAGCCATGTGCTGATAAATATGGAGAGCAGATTCACCAGCTTGATGGAATTACTGTGCAAGAGACAACAGGCAACATTCCAGGTTACCAAGGAAAGGCCCTGCTGGGGCTGCCTGACAGGGTAAAAGCACCCGCTTGGGGGGAGAGGCCGCTGCTTCTAACCCCCAACCATTTCTCCATGATAAGGGAATTCTGGACGGTGGCGGAGGCGGCTGGGATGAAGGTTAGGACAGAGCCTATAGGAATGAATTTAACTTTGGTAAAAATTAACTTTTAATTTAAAAACTCTTCAAAGCTACAGAAAAGTGGAAAGAACAGTATAATGAACACTTGCATGCTCTTCATTTAGACTGATCAATTACTAACATTTCACCACAGGTGTTTTATCACCCTCCACACTTTCTCTCTTAACCACCTACCTTTTACCTTCTCTTCTTTGTGTGTGTGTGTGTGTGTGTGTGTGTGTCTGTGCGTGTGCGTATTTTTTTTTTTTTTGGCTAAACCATTTACCAATAAATCAGAGACATCATGACACAAGCCCTAAATATTCAGCACTCAACTCCTAAGAAGAAGGGCATTGCACAGCATAATCGCAATACCATTTCACACCTGAGAAAATTAAAATGTAAAAATTCAGTAATGCTATTTAGTATGCAGACCTTATTTAAATGTCTCCACTTGCCCCAGAATTATGTTTATTGATTTTTTTCCCCCAGACGCAGGTTTCATGCATTGCATTTGGCTGTTAGGTGGCTTAAATCCGAGGAAACAAGGACAGAGTCAATATTTTGGGCTTTATCGGCCATATAGACGTCACAAATACTCAACTCTGCACTGTGGCTTCAGAGCAGCTTTTGGACAACAGGTACAAGAATAGATAGGGCTTTGTTCCAATAAAACTTTATTTACAGAAACAGGCAGCAGGCAGAAGCTACAGTATGCCAATCCCAGCTTCAGTCTCTTTCAATATATAAATGACACCACTCCTTTGCCCATTTTTGTTTTTAATTACATTAAATTTTGTGTAAACCCAGGTTGTCTTCTAAAATGTCCCATATTCTGGATCCTGTTTATTTTATTTTTTTTGAGACAGAATCTTACTCTGTCACCCAGCCTGGAGTGCAGTGGCAGGGTGGCTCACTGCAACCTCCATCTCCCGGGTTCAAGCCATTCTCCTGCCTCACCCTCCGTAGTAGCTGGGATTCAGGTGCACGCCATCACGCCCGGCTAATGTTTGTATTTTTAGTAGAGACAAGGTTTCACCATGTTGGTCAGGCTGATCTCGAAATCCTGACCTCAGGTAATCTGCCTGCCTCAGCCTCCCAAAGCGCTGAGATTACAGGCGTCATCCTCCGTGCCCAGCCCTGTTTATTTTTTAAATAAATGTTATTGTGTATGTTTGAGGTTTACAACATGATGTCATCTACCATCTTACATAGTTACGTTTTTGTGTGTGACAAGAGCAGCTAAAATCTACATATTTAACAAAAATTCCAAATACCATACAATTTTATTAGCAATAGTCCTCATGTTGTATATCAGACCTCTAGACCTGATCATCCTACATAGCTCCCTACTTATTTATTTCTGTTAAGAACCTATGCAGAGATGGCATCACGTCCGGATATGCCACCCCATTGATGCTAGGTCCATTCACGTGGCTAAGGCGGAAGTGCTAATCTCTCCACTGAGAGGTGCCTATTTCCCTGTGTAACGAATATGCCACCTTGAGTGATGCCCTGAGACCGCAGGCATATCCTGCTCCTCAACAACCTTATACCTAATAGTTTTAGCATCCACTGGTGTCCTTGAGTGGATCAACTGGAACTCATGACATTGTGAGCTCCCTGGAGGCTGGGGCCTTGTCTGACTGGATTCCAGGAGCCCTGGGTCCCTGGCATACAGCAGGCCCCGGTGACTCTGCACTGAGTGCACTGGTCTCTGCCCCTGCTCTTTTCCTAAACTGCTACCTGTTCACTCCCACTGGGATATACCTTGAATGCTGCTGTCAGCAGGTCACTTCACTGTCCAAAGACTTCATGTTGACTAAAAGATGACACTCAAACTCTCTCCTTCCATTGTCAATACCTTGTGAAGTCCCAGGTCTCCCACCATCGCTCTGTCACATAAACTCATGAAAGTGCCATCCCAGCTAAACCTATTTACTATAGCTGTGTTTACACTATTTACTCAGCTCGACAGCCCTTCCCATCTAGTCAAATATTCCCCATTCTTCAAAGCCCAGTTCAATTCCTACTGCTTCTTTAAAGTAGTTCCACCCACCTGTAAGACAAAGTGATCTTCACCTCCAGCCATTCATTGGTAATTGATCCTACTGACTTAAGACGTCTTTTGTAAAGTTTTAGGTTGCTATTTGACTCTTGGGTTCCTTGCTGCATCTTGCAGAAAAGAACTGTTTTCTATCTCTTGCATTTCCCCAGTAGTGGCTTAATGCAGCCTACAGGGTTGCCCAACCCATTGGTTTTGGTCAGTTCATCTCTGTTATGACTGTCCTCTCTTACCTCTCTCTTCTGGAGAGCCAGTGATTTAAATTCTAGGAGTTTAAGATCACAGTAATAGTATCAGCTAGGATGTTTACAGTTCTTTCCCAGTGCTCAGCACATGTGCCACCATCCTAAGTGCTTTATGTATACTAACTCATTTAATGCTCATAACAACAATCTTTCTTCTATGGAACAGCACAGAGGAATCTATGGTCTTACTTTTTCCAGAGTTGATGCTGACAGTTCATGGAAAGAATAAACAGATATTTTCCATTTTCTGGGTGAGACTGATCTTTTGAGATGTGTGGAATAACTTTCCTCTGGTTCAAAAACTTGGAAAAACAACCAAAATGTCCATTCTGTCTCTCTTGGTAATTTTTTTTTTTTTTTTTTTGAGACGGAGTTTCACTCATGTTACCCAGGCTGGAGTGCAATGGCGTGATCTCGGCTCACCGCAACCTCCGTCTCCTGGGTTCAGGCAATTCTCCTGCCTCAGCCTCCTGAGTAGCTGGGATTAAAGGCACACGCCACCATGCCCAGCTAATTTTTTGTAGTTTTAGTAGAGATGGGGTTTCACCGTGTTGACCAGGATGGTCTCAATCTCTTGACCTCGTGATCCACCCGCCTCGGCCTCCCAAAGCTCTGGGATTACAGGCGTGAGCCACCGCGCCCGGCCTCTCTTGGTAATTTCTAGAGTTGCCAAGTGATAGTAATTGCCAATATTTACTGAGCCCTTATTATATGTTAGATGTTGTGTTGAGCAGAATTCTCTCCTGCCTCTACCTTATAAGTTCTCTAAGGTGTGCTCCAGCACTTGAGGGTAAGAAATAGATGAAGAATAGGTAGCCAGCAGCAAAGAGAGGGCTCTTATGGAGGTGTGTGTTGTTCATTTTCTCAGGGGATTGTTAAATACCAAGTGGCTTCACTTAAACATACTCCTGGATCCTTGGGACCCGAACACAGCGGTGTCCCACCAGCAACTATGTGGAGTCCTCTTGAGATATTAAACTTATTTGGAGGCTGAGCCTCTTGGCGCTTTGGGAAAATGACCTAAATATGATGATGATTAAACTCTAAATGATGATTACAGTGATATTAATAGTGCTTTAGGGAGCTTTGGCTATATGCAGAACATTTCATCACTGTTGCTAAAACGGTACATGTTTTGCTCTGAAATCGGATTATTTTTATGACATCAGCATTATCACAGATCCCTAGGTTTAGGAATTTGCTTTCTAAATGAAACTCTATGACCAGGCATATGAAAGTGACAAGCAAAAGATGCAAGGTTAAGCCTTGGTGGACATTCTCCATACACTGAAATGTGAACCTAGCCTGGTTGAGCAGGGCTCCTTTGGAAGAGAGGGTGGGGGTTTCCAGGAGCAGGGCTGTGTGCTCTGCACAGCAAAGGTTGTGTATCACTGCATGGAGATAGTCACAGCCTTCCTAACCAAGCCCAGGGGTCGGGGCCAGACATGAAGCTACTAGTGGTTACAATGATTCATACCATTCAGATTCCAGCCTCCTTCCTATGCCTTCAGGGAGATTATGATCTTATCGTGAAAACCTGACCCCATATAAAGTAAATCGTTCTCACGTTTCTAGGACAATTCCTGAGTCCCCATCCCATGAGTTCTAATTCACATCGATGGGCACAGTGAATCATTATAGGACAGGGACAGGATTCTTGCAGATTACAGACCTCTTCCAAGAAACTGGATGCTGCAAGAGAAGATCTGGCTCCAGAGATCACAACTGTAAACCTAGGGCTTCTGGGGCCTTCTTTGTCCTCTATACGTATGTTCAACAAGACGTGTTTCCGCTAACGCAGAAAATGCCGTGGACTTGGTACACAGAAGTGCAAATCTGTCCCTTGTTCTGCTTGTCCCTAATTTTCCTCTTTGTTTCTGGTACTACCAGGTGTTGCTGGCCTTGTTTTGTTTTACTGCTGTCTTTGCCAGACAGATGTAAAATACCCACCCCCTAAAAAGTTAACTGGACAGCACCACACTAACATAAATGGTCTGAACTATGACATGGGTAAAGCAAAGTGAAATTCTGCCAGTTCTATCTATTAATTATCTCTCGATCCCTTCTCCTCTCTCTGCCCCAATTTGCACCACCTACAGCCATGCCCTATTACCTCTTCCCTGGACTACTGCCTCCTAATTGGTCTTACAGTCTATGAGTTCTTTGATGCTTCAATCTCATTCTCTATACCACCGTTGGAATTGTGGATCTTTCTAAAATGTTAATCTAACCACATTTCCTCTTATGATTAAAATCCTTCAACAGCTCTCCTTTGTTCTCAGTAAAGCCCATGAATCTAAGAACCTGCATGATTTAGCCTCTCCCTGAACATCCCGTGCAATCTCCATAGAGAATATTCTTCTTTACAAACTTTACCTTGGAGCCATTTCTAAGGTCATGTAAGCAGTAAGTTTTAGTTTTGAAAATGCCTCCCAAAAACATATTGGTTAGGTATATGATGACTCAGGCATATAATGGAACACTATGTGAAAAACCAAAGGTGGCGTAGTCGATGTAATCGTTATCTCAAAGCAGTGTGGTGTGGAGGCAATTTTATTCGTCCTTTATGATTCTGTATGTTGTTGCAATGCTTACAATGAACAGATTTTAAAATTAGTGGAAACAGGCTAGGCGTGGTGGCTCACACCTGTAATCCCAGCACTTTGGGAGGCCAAGGCAGGCAGATCACCTGAGGTCAGGAGTTTGAGACCAGCCTGGCCAACATGGTGAAACCCCGTCTCTGCTAAAAATATAAAAATTAGCCAGGCATGGTGGCCGGTGCCTGTAATCTCAGCTACTTGGGAGGCTGAGGCAGGGAGAATCACTTGAACATGAGAGACGGAGGTTGCAATGAGCCGAGATCATGCCACTGCATTCCAGCCTGAGCAACAAAGTGAGACTCAGAGAGAGAGAGAGAGAAAGAGAGAGAGAGAGAGAGGAGGTGGAAGAATAAGAAGGAGGAGAAGGAGAAGGAGAAGGAGGAGAAGGAGAAGGAGAAGGAGGAGGAGGGGGGAGGAGGTAGGGAAGGAAGGAAGGAAGGAAGGAAGGAAGGAAGGAAGGAAGGAAGGAAGGAAGGAAAAAAGAAAAGGAGAAAACAGCAAGGCAATTCCCATTTTGAAAAAATTTGCCGGGTGATTCATGTTTTACTCATCAATATCTACCACGGTCAGTGAGAAGGGGAATTATAACCTTTAAACACAGCTGCTGACTTTCCTCTGATAGTAGAATAAGTGTTCTATCACCTGTGTGTAGATCTCCAGTTTGCAGGGCAATTGAAGAACTGCCAAAACCTCAGATGGTGAGAGGGAGTCTCCTTGCTTTCCCTTTAATTGGCCTGTTTCAGGCTATGGAGTATTCCAGGCCCACTGTGGGCTTGCAGTTTGGGAAAGGGCCCTGATGCTGGTCATATACCGTGATTGGCCCATTTCATCCCATACACTTTAATTTCCTCTGCTGCCTTCTCAATTCAGTATCAATCTTTCTGCCACCTTATGCTTCTCTGCCCTGTTTCTTCCAGCTTTTGGCCCAGTGAGGCAGCCAAAATACTGAAAATGAAATACCAACTTCAAATCACGATTTCGAATCGCATCACAATGCCTCCATCCCTACCTAATGCCACGGATTGGCAAGGATTCACTGCCAAAGACAGCCAGACAAAACCTCCCTAAAGATGATGACACGGGTCCCCCAACCCACCCTGCTGGAAGGACTGCTATGAAAGCAGCAGAGTAAAGAAGAGTCACAGGAGAATCGCTAAGTGTCCAAAGCCCTACAAAAGCCAAGGCTGCACTTTCTCTGGGAAAATGAGAGCTTTTGGATCCACACTTGGGGATGCCCAAAAAGGAGTCAAAGTTAGCTGGGCTGGCACCTGGAGAGAGAATGGGCTCAGAGAGTCATCCTAGAGCTTCTAGAGTTCTTACAGTTACATGACGTTTGCTTCTGTCCCTGGTGACTTGGGCTTTCCTACCCTCTTTACCTCATCCTCCTCTTTCCACCACAGAACCTTCTTGTCCAGGAGTACAGAATTACCCAGCTTCCCCAAGTGCCATGCCCTCACACCAGTGTGATGTTTGCAGCTTCCTTGATTCGAAGACAACCCTGCTCCTCACAACCCCCACATGCCCAGCCCCCCGAGGATGACACTTAGTTTTCTACCAGGCTTACCCGAAGCACCCCCTTCTTGAAAAGATCCTTGACTGCCCCACAACTCATGCCAAGCCCAGCTTAGTTGCCCCCCTCCCCTCTTAACCCCTGGGCATACTGACATCAGCATTAATCACACCGTCAGACGGCCTGGCCCCCACCCAGCAAGGTCTCTGCCAGCAGGACTCCATCCTAGTACCCACCTTGCTGCTGACACCAATGGGTGCTCATTCCAGGCTTGCTGAATTACCTCAACCACCTGGTTATAACCATAAGTGACAAGAACTCTGAAAGCCCATGTTGTGGGGTTGTGGCAAAAAGTACCCTCTGATAAGAGTTTCACATAGTGGGAAGTAGGGTGCCGGAGAAATGCTGTTTTGGGGCCCGGATGGCAGATGCCCAGCCAGCCTTCTACCCCGTGACTCTTCCCTAGGGCCATTTTCTCCCTCATACCCTGGCTGGCTGCTTCAGCTTCCCCGGCTCTTCACTGAGAGGAGGAAGCACCCATAACTGTGCAGTTGGTGGGTAAGCTGACCACCAGGGAGTCCACAGTCACTTCCCATATCCAATGGAAAGAGAGGTGAGTGTCCTAGCAGAGGGTCAGAAAAAGATATTCAGATGGTCCATCATTCTCTCCAGTCCTAAAAGGGTCTAGGGAGTAGACAATATTCCCCAGAGCAATGGAACCTTCTCAAAATGCTGGCATCAAAGATTAAAAATCCCCCTAACATATGATGTAATTGTGAGACAGGGAGAGACAGATACTACCTGATGCTACAGAGTATCACAAAACACGATCCCTACCAGAAAAATGAGTGTCTCTTAAGGACAAGGCTCTGTGTTTGGTGCTGGGTACTCGTACATTCCACTTATAAAAACGCAGTCCAGTGGAGCAAATCTGATGTAGGTAAATATGGGAGAGATGCTAGCTTCATTGATCGTGTACATTTCAAAAGTAATATGTTTCTAGTACATAGAATAATCATTAAAAGGCAGAAATCAAGGTTATTGTCACTTAGAAAAATATGAAGAAAAACAATATTCACTGTATATGAATACTATTACATTATTGCTAATAAATAGAGAACTCATGAATTCTTATCTCAGGATAATGAACAGTAAAAGGTGGGAGGACATACTTTTAAAGACTTCGGTGCCATCGGATTCTCTTTTTCTTTTCAACTTGGCTAATAGAAAGTGAATTTGATCTCACAGTCACACAGATGAACAGTCAGAGGAAACCGATTTGGAATTAAAGCAAAACAAAATAAACAAGCAAAAAAACACAAACGACCAAGGAGTAAAGCCAATCATAGGCTGAATTTGTTGGCTGTGTCAGGTTCATTCAGGAAGCTGGGTCCCAGCCTGTGTCACCAGGAAAATGATGCCGAATCTAATCCTCAAGACTGCAGCTATATTAATTACAAATCACAAAATATGGAGGTGTCCTGTTTTTAATCATTTATCAAATGCATGAAGGGCAACCAAAGAGGAAATGGAATGTTAGAAGTGAGCTTCTTAGAGTGTAATTTCCTAGAAGAGAAATTTATAGCCTGTGCTTATTCTCCATTAGAGCACGTCTAACCTCTTTTATTAGTTTATTCATCAAGACAGCCCTGGTTTCAGGGCAGCTCTGCAAGCCGGCAGGTCATCAGGAAAGGGATCCTCTGGGGGCTTTTCCTCCTGGTCCAGTTGTGTTTTCCAGATCATAACACAGTTAACAGAAGTATTCATGGCGCATTCGTCAGGAGGTTTGTAGGTTTTCCCCCAAAAGGCAATTCACAGAGCAAGCCCCCAGGGCTATATGGATATAAAGTGAACATCTAAAATGTGCTTTGAAATGAAATGATTTTCTGTTTGCCATATGAGGTTTGTGATTGCCTCTCACAGCGTTGCTTCTATTGCCTTTATGACTGGGTTCAATTTCTTATTTAGTGATGTAATAAAGGGGCGATTTAGGATCTGGCAGCAAGGACTTCCCAATCAATGAGCAAATCTATCCCTCATTCGTTGTGCACGTGTCCCTTTGACACTGTGGCTTATATCTGGGCAACCCCACTAGGCACCCAGATATCAGCCATGCATCCCTAAAATTGTCCCTACTCCCCTGCCTGCATGGCTATTTCTCTCTTTTCACCACATAGTTCCCTGGCCCTGCAGAAGACAGCAACCCAAACCCTACTCTGGGTTTTCTCTCCTTCTCTGTGTTAGCTCACTCTTTCTGTAAATCATATAACATTAATAATGTCATTGTGATGAAAGCAAGCACACTTGATATTTGCAACTTGGCAGAGGGGACTGGAATGAAAAAAAATTACAATGAAGAACATCTTACCTTGTTTTAAGAATATTCAGAAACTGCAAAATTTCTGAAAACTGTATCAGTCTCAGAGCTCTTAAAAATCTCAAACCTGGAAAGAAGAGTGAAAGAGAGATGCATTATTTTCAATGCGTGGTTTTAATGTTCACCGTCTGCCATTTGATTAACAGTTCCCAAGGGTTGAAGGGATGGGAAGTTCTTGCAGAAGATAAACCAACTGGTACCTCGGACATATTCCCTCATTCTGATTCTTGACTGGTTTAATCTTGGCTGGTAAATGGACTTTCTCCTTACAAAGGTAGCCTGTTTGGAACCTCTTTAGGGGAAGGGCTCATGGGGAGGAGCCAGGTTAATGAGACTTTTCATTGGGTGATCTCTGATTGAAAGCACAGTTTTCTAAGTTACCTAGCTGTCTGGCAGGATTTTGTCTCTGAAAAATCCTAGGAATTGTGATAACTCAGGGTAACCCTTGCGCTAAGAGCAGATCGAGACTAAATCGGATAACCTTACGTCTTTGATGGATTTTATTTTTTATCTTTATCTTCAGCCCTGATAAAATGAAGAGTACAGCCCACAGTGTTATCTGTTTTCTACAAATTTCTACATTTTCCTCCCAATAAAAAAAAAAAAAAAGATCAGTAAGATATCACACCCCACAGCTTCAGGATTCAAAATTTATATAGCTCCCCATTTAGTAAGAGTTAAGATAAATGGTTTGTCCTTTCTAAATCAACGACCTCTCTTGAATGGAAAAGAAACATCAATGTTTAGGTGGCAGAAGAGCGATGAAGAAGGAAAACACATCAAGAACCCTTTAAAAATGCAAATTATTATGTTTTAGTAGCTAAGAGTAAATTATATTTCTGTTGAGGTGAAATTCATGAGTCAGAACATTCACAGTCAGTCCTGGGCTATAACACTTTGGCTATCATGCAAGGATATGACTTACAAAATGCTGGTTTGTCACAGCTTTGAGACACATTGAATGTCACACCCACTCCCAAGGGGATTTTCTTTTGCAGATTTTCTAGAAGCATTTTATTCAGCACCACCGTGTGCCAAAAGCAGTGTGAAGCCCTCCAGAGCACTGAGCTGACAGACAGCTCCATGCCTGTGGGTGGGGCTTTGTTCTCCCACACCTGTGAGGCAGTAAAAAGGCAGCCTAGGGCACAGCGGTGGGAAGGAATCCTTACTACCTTCTCCTTGAACTAAGAGTACACTAACTGTACCCAACATGGAGCTGAGCTGTTTAGGTAATAAGGGAAAATGAACTTCAAGCTCATGGTGTGGGGGAAAATCTGACTCTACAAAGAAAGAGAGAGAAAAGGATTGGCTCAAAAAATAATTTCTCATCTGAAAAAAATTTACCATCACAAACAGAAGACATTTTTATGAAAACATTCTCCTTCTATGCTAAATAATATTTATATAACTTTTTATTAAATAATTGCAGAGATGAGACGGGATGTTGATGAAATAGAAGGGCTCACAGCCAAAAGCACAGTCGTAACTGAGCTGATGAAAGCCTGACTTAGCACTGCCGAAAACCGACCATGGTGTGGAGTACAAAACTAAGAAATCATCCCAGAAAGCAGAGAAAATAAGGGAAAGGGAGAGAAAAAAAGATGAAACTTCAGAAAGTAGACACAGAGCAGAGATCACAGAGATCCAACCTGTGAATAAAATGTGTTCCAAATGGAAGTATGAACAGCACATAGATCATAAGCAAAGGCCAGGACATCACAGAAAAGAACTTTTGAGATACGAAAAAAATGACTGGAGACTAAAACATAAAAAGAAGGATCAGCTCTTAGAGACCAGAGGCAAGAGGCATCTGGCTTTTCACGTTCACGTTTCAAGTATTAAAATCAAGCAATAAAAATGAAGCATCAGTGCTGATGGGGTTATTTACCATTAAAGTAACAAAGATCATTATATATAAGTGTTAAATGGTGATTAGGAAATTCTCATGATTTTTAGACAAACAGAATCTGATCCAAGATTTTTATACCCAGTGAAGTGGTTGTTCAAGAATAAAAGTGACACAAAATTTCAAATTCTAAGGTCTCAAAACAATATATTGTTTGCTCAGTATGTATATAAAGCTTTCAAAGGGGTTCATAAGACTTGCTAAATCAGAATGGGAGGGGCAAGGGCTGGAAATTAAATCTATAACAGACTCTACTGCTGGTTCTAACCTTCCAGTCCAGCCTAGACTGTTATCTCATACCAGCATCACTGCTGCATATTACTGAGCTAAAACAAATTTAGAAACTTGGAGTAGAAGGCCACTGGCAATTAGCACTGAAACCATCAAAGATACAACACCCTCCCATGTTCCTCCAGGGATACGCTCCAAGACTTCCCAGCGAATGCCTGAAACCTCAGATAGTACCAAATCCTATATGTATTACATACACACCTACGGTAAAGTTTAATTTATAAATTAGGAACAGGAAGGGATTAACAATGAGAATAAAGGCCAGGCACAGTGGCTAACATCTGTAATCCGAGCACTTTGGGAGGCTAAGGCAGGCAGATCATGAGATCAGGAGTTTGAGACCGGCCTGGCCAACATGGTAAAACCCCATCTCTACTAAAAACACAAAAATTAGCCAGGTGCTGTGACACACGCCTGTAATCCGAGCTACTCGGGAGGCTGAGGCAGGAGTATTGCTTGAGCCCAGGGAGGCAAAGATTGCAGTGAGCTAAGATCGTGCCACTTCATGCCAGCCTGGGCGACAGAACAAGACTCTGTCTGGAAGAAAACAAACAAATAAGCAATGGCAATAATAAAGTAGAACAATTATGACTGTATGCACCAGCATCACTATTCTTGCACTTTGAGGTCATTATTAAGTAAAGTAAGGGTTACTTGAACACAGGCACTGTGGCAGCAAGACATAGGTGTGCCCACTGAGTGGCACTGAGAGACTGAGGGTTGGGAGTGCAGATGGCGCAGATGTGCCAGGCAAAGGGAGGGTTCTTGTCTCAGATGGGGCCAAGCAGGACAGCATACAACTTAAAACTTATGAATTGTTAATTTCTAAAATTTTCTATTTAATATTTTCAGACTACAGTTGATGGGGGGTAACTGAAACCTTAGGAAGCAAAACTGTAAATAAGAGGCAGTCCTGTAGAAATACACACACTAACAATATATTAGCCACTTAGGGTTTAATCATGAAAATACTGTGTATGCATAGATATACTTGTATTTATGGAACTAAAAATAGAATACAAACAACCTAAACTTCAAACTGGATTCCTTCTTTTAATCTTTAAATGATCCCGTTTGTATCGTATATCAAATCTAATCTACAGCTTGCCACATTTGAGTGAGCCACAAAAACATAATAGACTAAAAGCTTTTCTTTTAATTAAGGTGTGTGAAAGTAAGGGGAGGAAAGAAATGAATGCAGAGGCCACAGGGTGCTGTCCTCTTGCTAGAGACAAACTGCAGATCTAGCTCTGAGCACCTTCTTAACAAAAGCAAGCAAGGAGACAGGAGAAGATTAATAGTGCATACATAAGAGAGAAAAACAAACTGGCTTGCAGGAGAATCATTTATTTTTCTCAACATGGAGACCAGAGGGAAATGTCTCCCTGCAAAAGGGACCCAGGGTGTTGCAGAAGCAAGACCCCTTGGGCTGAACAAAGGTGCCTTTGCCTATTTCACTGGCACTGAGTTTCATTGATGCAAATGAGTCATTGAAGTTCTCCATAGGTTAAAAAAGTCAGTCTACATTTTATCCTCAGATCAAGCCAGACTATCTGGAGAAATGGTTATCTAAAGCATGCGTCTTTCAGGAATCATTCACAATACCTCTGTATTAGTCTATCCTTACTCTGCTAATAAAGACATACCTGAGACTGGACAATTTATAAAGGAAAGAGGTTTAATTGACTCACAGTTCTGCGGGGTGGGAGAAGCCTCAGGAAACTTATATTCATGGCAGAAGGGGAAGCAAACACATCCTTCTTCATACGGTGGTGAGAAGAAGTGCCAAGCAAAGAGGGAAAATCCCCTAATAAAACCATCAGATCTCATGAGAACTCACTATCACGAGAACAGCAGCATGGAGGTAACTGCCCCCGTGATTCAATTACCTTCCACCAGATCCCTCCCACAACATATGGGTATTATGGGAACTATAATTCAAGATGAGATTTGGGTAGGGACACAGCCAGATCATATCAGCTTCCTGACTGCTTTCTGCCCTGGACCCCTTGTGGTCTCTGCTCAGAAGCTTTCAATGCCCTCCTTCAATGCCCTCATTTTACACAGAGTAAAAGTCAAAGTCCTTCAAAGGCCTAAAGCGATACCACCCACCACCAGCACTATCCCCTTTTGGATCTGATGGCTTCCTACTGCCACTCCTACTGTGAATGATTCCTGAAAGACACGCTGATCTGGCAGATGTCTTCAGTGACCCTTGAACACACAGGCATGCTACTGCCCCAGGGCCTCTGCACGTGCGGCCTCTCTGCCTGGAATGCTGTTCCCCAGATGCACACATGGCACACTTTCTCACCTCCTTTAGGTTCTCACTCAGTGTCCCGTGATCAGTGTGACCTTCCCTGGCTACCCAACCTAAACACGCAACTCCTCCCGCACCACCCCTGAAACACCCTGTCCTCTTTCCTGCTTCACTTTTCTCCTCAGCACGATGCACCAGCACCTCAGTTACGTGGTTACCTTCTGTCTCCCTCTCTGTAGCATCAGCTCTACGAGGGGAGGGGCTGATGTCTGCTTTGTTCAGGGCTATATTTTCCAACACTGAACATAGTGTCTGGCATAAGGTGAAGGCTCAATAAATCCTTGTTTGAATAAATGAATGAATCAAAGTTTTGAGAACGAATTAGGTGGCGGAGTTAAAGGTTAGATAATCCACATTCAGAATTCTGAGACCCTATGTTGCCTACTAAAGGGAAAAGCCACAGCTCTGCGGGGTCCCCTGACAGAGGTCAGGGCTGCAGTCTTAGGAAGTAGAAAGTAGCCTAATTGGGGAAAAGCCTTAACCAATGGCCACTCCTGCTATAACCAGAAAAAGCCCAGAGGACTACAGACAGTGATGTCAGGCTAAGAGA